CATACACATGCACACGTGACCACTGAATATGCCGGGAGGGGGGAGTTTTCGGATCAGGAGACACAACATCGCATGCCAATATCTTTATTATCGTCAGCATTCTTCTTCTTCTTCTTCTTCTTCTTCTTCTGAGATGTGCATCATCATCATCATCATCATTATCATCATCACCACCACCAGCATCATCATCATCATCATCATCATCACCACCGCCAGCATCATCATCATCCTGCTACGGCTGTTGCTTGTTCTACACTTACTAGGTATTAATGTCTCACTTAGGACCGAAGAAAGAGACGTCCACACTTGTTCGTTGTCTGTACAATGAACTATGTTCGTTGTCTCTTTAATGAACTATGTTCGCTGTCTGTACAATGAACTATGTTCGTCGTCTCTATAATGAAACTATGTTCGTTGTCTCTATAATGAAACTATGTTCGTTGTCTCTATAATGAACTATGTTCGTTGTCTCTAAAATGAACTATGTTCATTGTCTCTAAAATGAACTATGTTCGTTGTCTCTATAATGAACTATGTTCATTGTATCTATAATGAACTATGTTCGTTGTCTCTGTAATGAACTTTGTTCGTTGTCTCTGTAATGAACTATGTTCATTGTCTCTATAATGAACTATGTTCGTTGTCTCTATAATGAACTATGTTCATTGTCTCTATAATGAACTATGTTCGTTGTCTCTGTAATGAACTATGTTCGTTGTCTCTGTAATGAACTATGTTCATTGTCTCTATAATGAACTATGAGAAGTTACGGGTCAGCATCACAGGAACAGCCGCCGATTTGTTTGTTTGTTTGAGTAAAGAGAAACACATCGACACAATAATGGCCATTTAGTGCTGGGGAAAAGTCAGACAGACAGACAGACAGACAGACAGACAGACAGACAGTAACAGCAGCGGGAAAGGAAAATAAAGAAGTAGGACTTCCCAGTGGCACCCTCCAACCACCCGCGTTGGTCTCATAAAGGAGACTTTACGTTTGTCCTTTCATTTTCGTTTATGAATTACAATAACCCCTAATTGTAAGACATCCACCTGTCTTAGACGGTCTCTTTTCTCCTGGACAACGGATGGCCGTCTGGGCAATGAGTCGCTTTAGCAAAATCTGAATACGTTAGTGCGCCTCTTCGGCAAATAATATATGATATGAACCACTTCGGCAAATAACATACGATATGAACCACTTCGGCAAATAATATACGATATGAACCACTTCGGCAAATAATATTATGATATGAACCACTTCGGCAAACGGGTTAGAACTACTTCAACAAACGGGTTAGCACTACTTCAGCAAATCGGTGCACCCACCCATTTCGTCAAACGGGTCAGGAAAGAGAGTGAAGAGTCTGAATTCGGATAACGTTTCATTGAGAATTATCCGGTTATTCTTATAGATTATCCGGATTTTGCCCCCCTCTACTAGCAGGTCACACCAACAACTCGAGCAAAACGAGATCAGAGCCACCCCGCACAGTTGCTTTGGACTCCGCTCAAGTATGTTGTGGGCCATTCCACGACAAATGAACCTGCAGCCAGACACGTAGCGCGGGGAAAACGATTTGCTGGAAAAAAAATCTGAACAAAGATAGCGCTACTATTTCTTTAGAGCAGTCATTTTTATATAAGAGGAAGATTTACTCGACCCCACCCCCCCTCTCCAAAAAGCACCCCTCCCCCCCATGTCCAAACACACAGAAAAATACACATAGGCAAAACGACAAACAACGACAAAAACATAAACAAGAACAACAAAAACACACACACACACAAACACAGACACACACACAACAGCACACAAACACACACACACACACCACACACACATATTATCCTCCTACTCACCTGAGCAAGATTCGAGGGAATCCTCACTTGCCACAACTGCTGCTGCTGTTGCTGTTGTTGTTGTTGTTGCTGCTGCTGCTGTTGTTGTTGCTGCTGCTGCTGCTGTTGTTGTAGTTGCAGCTGCTGTTGCTGCAGTTGCTGCAGTTTGAGCTTGAGGTGCGACTCCTGCAGCTGCCTCTGCAGCTCCTCTATCTGCTTGGCCTGAGCTAGGACCACCTGGTCGTTGTTGGACATCTGCAGCTGCTGGGGCGACGGAGTGACACCCGTCGAGCCGCCCCCGTGCTGTTGCTGCTGCTGCTGCAGGTGGTGCTGCTGCTGCTGCAGCTGCTGCTGAGCCTGGGTCTGCTGGAGCAGCTGTTGTTGGAGCTGCTGTAAGGTCTGGAGCTGTTGCAACTGTTGGAGCTGGAGGAGGGAGGCGGGCGAGGAGAGCTGATTGAGTCAGTCGGCGGGGGAAAAGACATGGGGAGAAGGGGGTGTAGAGGCGAATGTTTTACCGCACTCGAAACACAAAAGGTCATATAAGTTCAGAAGATTAGAGGTATTACAAGAGAGTAACAAACACAAAACAGAAGGAGGGCAGATGGAGATGATAGACTTTTATAGGAAAAAAGGAACAAACCAAACCCACAATTAGGTCATTCACGGCTCGCAGATTAGAGGTGTTAAGATAGAGATACATACACAATAAAGGAGGAAGAAAGATATCATGAAAAAAAAAAAGAATTTAAAAACCCCAACTGAACAAGAAAGAAAGATAGGGAGGACAAATTATGAATTAAAAAGAAGGATCAAACTACATCGAAGTACCCACCAACCACCCACAACTTGAAAGCTTTGGCTCAGAACTACAAATAATAGTCCGAAATCCCTGACATTTGCACTCACTAGTTGCGTAAAACTCAATAATGCAAGAAAGCTAAGAGATCTGTGACACGTGAAATCTCTATTAGCTTAAAAACTCAAAAGTGCCAAGGAAAGTTAGAGATCTTTGACACATGAACTCATCACTATTTGCTTAAAACTCAAAAGTGAGATATCTCTGAAATGTGAACTCACTATTTGCGGAAAAAAATGAAAACTTCCGAGTGAAGTTAGACATCTTCACACTATTTGCATAAAATGAAATCTGTGAACATTCAACTCATTAATTGCCACACTGCAAGGAACAGTGAGAGATCTATGACACGTGAACTCACTAATGGCGTAAAACTCAAAAGTACAGGGAAAGGTTAGAAATCTGTGTCACGGGAACTCACTTATGGCGTAAAACACAAAAGTGAGATACCTCTGAAATGCGAACTCATTATTTGCGAACACCCCCCCCCCTCCCGCAAAACTGTCAAGTAAAGTTCGACATCTATGACACGTGAACTCACTAAAGGCGTTAAACTAAAAAAAGCAGAGAAAGGTTAGGAATCTGTGTCAGGGGAACTCACCGTTTGCGCGAGAGGAGCCGTGAACTGTACCGGAGACACGTGGCTGGGGGACAGCTGCGACAGCGGAACCTTGACCGTCCGGAGGGTACCGCTCCCGTCCGCCGCCGGGGCCACGCTGATGGTTTTGAACCCCGAACCATCCACGCTGGGGCTGAGGCTGAGCGTCTTGATGGGGCTGCCGTCGGGCGCCGAGCCCAGGTTGATGGTTTTGATGGTGCCCAGGTCGGTGCTGGGGCTGAGGTTGATCGTTTTGATGGTGGCCGTGCCGTCCAGGTTGGGGCTCAGGTTGATGGTCTTCACGCCCGAGTTGTCCAGAGTCGTGGTGTTGATGTTGACGGTCTTCAGACCGCCCGCGGCGTCCACGGAGCTGGGGTTGAGCGTGATGGTCTTGAAGGCCCCGCCGTTCCCGCCGCTGGTCATGGGCTGGACCAATGCTTTGAAGGTGGAGGCGTCTAGACTTTGGCCCAGACTGGCCGCTTTGAAGGCCGTGTCGTCTACGCCCTGATTGAGGTCAACGGACACAGAGTCCACCTCCATCGGGGTCATCTCGGCCGGCACGGTGGACGCGGGTCTGGACAGGTCCGTGTTCATGGACACCACCGTCTGGTGGCCCAGCGTGAGCGAGTTGGTGGAGGGACTTGTGTTCAGGATCACCTGGCCGCCGGGCATACTCTGAGCTTTGAGGAGACTGTGCGGAGCCACGGGGCTGGGGGTGCCCAGTTTCGGGGTGAGGTTTGGGGGAGAGGCGGCGTTGAAGTCCGGACTCATGGGGGTGGAGGGCCCGGGGGTGGGGGCCAGGAGGGTGGGTGGGGAGCAGGGAGGGGAGGAGGCGTCACCCGTTGCCATCGGCTCCTCTTTGACCATTGGCTTCACACTGACCACTGTCTTCAGACCCTGGCTGCTGAGAGGTAGCGTGACGGGAACGGAGAAGGCAGAGGAGCTCAGAGCGGACGACTGGGAGAACACGGAGGAGAGGAGGGAGGAGGAGGACGGGAAGGAGGAGGAGGCTGTAGTGGATGGGATGGGTCGCGTGATGGGCGAGGCGACCACCTCCCCGTTGGGCTCAGTCTTGATGTGGAACGTGGTCTGGCTAAACTGTAGCGGGGTGGAGACCCGCGAGGGCGGCCGGGAACCGTTGGTCTTGACAGCCATGGCGTGGCTCGGAGCAGGACTACTGGCGGCGGACGAGGTGTCCGTGAAGGGTTTGAGCCTCTCTATGAGCTGTGGCTTGGGCCCAGACACGGGGAGACTTCGCTTCTTCAGCTCCGCCTTCAGGTCCGCCACCTTCATCTCCTCCAGGTTGCCCGTCAGTTTGGGCAGGCTCAAGGCACTAGCTGGGATGGACGTGAGCGCTTTGGCGGAGGGCCGCGGGGCGACCGACTGAGTGGGTCTCACCACGGGGGGAG